GGAGCACGAGGAGCAGCTTCTGGCTCTGCTTCTTCCCAACGAGGCAGATCTGGCAGGGAGGCTTGGGGCTCCCCCCAGATGGAAACCAGCACTGGTACTTCAATCTCACAGGGAGGAGAGGGGGGCACCTGCAGAGTGCCAGCAGGTGCTCCCTGCTGCGGGGAGAGGGAGGATGAGCAGGGGGAGAGGGATGAGTGGAGCTCAAGTCATGGGCCACCTGGAAGGCACCCACTAGTGGTCCACAGACTGCAGTTTGAGAACCACTGCTTTAGAATCAAATAAGCTACTGGTTGAATCTTCTATCCAGCTGTCCTCCAGACTTAATTGAGAGGGGGGGAGGAGAAAGAGTGAGCTAACAGTGTTTAATGCACACAGCTGTTTTAAATTTCGCTCAGATTAATTAACCGTTTGGAGAAAAGTCTAAAACCAACAAACTTTCGCAATCCCAATGTGAAGCTCTGAAACAAATCCCCCATATTTTTTTTTTAAAGTACTGCTGAGCATCTACTGGCAAAGTTTTTATTTATTTTTAGGTATCCCCAGATTAAAAAAAGGCAGCTATTACTAGGACCACCTGACAGTCATCTAGATAACAAGGTTACCTAAACCAATGTAAGTTGACACCATTCCTTTAAAAAAAATAAATGAAAGACATTTTTGTGATCACAAATCAATAGTGAAGAAGTAGGAACTGGATACAAGTTGTATACGGCGTTCTTATACTGCCAAGAGCACAGAAGGTCACTTGCAGCAGATACAAACATAACAGGAGTATTGCAGTAAGCAAGAAACATTTCCTATGTAGGATTTATCACTCAGCAGAGCTGGGAGGTTTGAATTAACCTTGCATGACCAACTGAAAGGCCTGTCACCATGTCAGTGCAACTATTCTTCAAGCAACACACTTACCTTAAGCAGATTGCCTATGAAAGCTGGATACTTCAAACCATGTTCGAGAGAAGCTGCTTCAATCCTCGTGATCCAAAGCTTAAAGACACACAAAGATTTGAATAAAAAAATTGAAATTAATATTCTAGTTGAAGTTTCTTTCATGAACAATTAAACATATGAATGTGCTCAGATTCAATAAATACAATAAGAACCAATGAGGAGTCTGTGGCACCTTAAACTAAAAAAATGTATTAGGGCATAAGCGTTTGTGAGCTGCAGACCATGAAAGCTTATGCTCTAATACAGTGGTCACCAACCAGTAGATCAGTATCTACTGGTAGATCTTGGAGCCTCTGACAGGTGATCTTGACTGGGGTTTGGCCAAGAAGCTATTGAGTGCTTGCACTTCAGTTGCCCCCTCCAGTCACTGTTATGCTGCATTTGCCCTCTGCCTTGGAGTTGCCCCCGAGAGCCTCCTGCTTGTTGTGCAGGGTGTGGGGGGAAGAAGAGGGAGGGCTGATGTCTGGGTGTACCCTATCTTCACACAGAGAGGAGGGGATGGAGGGAGCTTGGCAATGCAAATCTGTGTCACACTGTGTGCGCCTGTCACACACACCCCCCCCTTCACGCTGCTCTCCTGACCCAACAAAAAATTGGGAGCAGGAGGACGGGGGGTTGTTGTCACTACTTTTACTGCTTGCAAAGTGGGTTACGTTTGCTTTGTGACTGGTCTGTGCATTTCATCGTTTTCATTTCTCTTACGCTTAAATTTAATTCTTTGAGGAGTGAGCTCTAAAATGCCGAACCTGTTGTGTCTGGAGTAGTTATCTCTATGGTAAATGCTGCTCTTAGAAGTGGCTGCAGCCCCTGAGAAAGGCAGAGCGGTGGGAGAGGTAGGGGGTCTCCACATGCTGTCCTTGCCTGCAGACACCACTCCTGTGACTCCCATTGATCAGTAACGGGGAACCGTGGCAAGTAGAAGCTTGTGGGGGTCTGTGCCTGTAGATGTGGGGCAGCACATGATGCCATGGAGCCATTGCTCTACATGCCAGCTGCGTTGAAGTGGTGCAGGGCCATGGCAGGAGTAAACCTGCCTTATCTCCGCTGTTCCACCACCTGGAAGCCATCTCAGTTAAATGGTACCGAGCCAGAACCTGCATCCTGAACCCGTTGCAGCCTTGAACCTCCTTCTGCACCCAACCTTCAGCCCCAGATGTGAGTCATAGAATCACAGAACACTAGAACTGGAAGGAACCTTGAGAAGTCCCCGCTCACCCAAACTCCTTCTCAGAGCTTGCACCCTGAAACCCCTCCTGGACCCCAATTCCCTGCCCTGGGCTAAGCCTGGAGCCCCTCCCACACTCCAAACCCCTTGGCCTGAGACCAGAGCCTAGAGCCTAGCCTCCTACACTAGCCTGGTGAAAGTGAGTGAGGATGGGGAAGGAAGAGGGATGGAGTGAGCAGGGTGAGGCATCGGAGAAGGGGTGGAGCAGAGGCAAGGCCTGAAAGAAGGGGCAGGAAGGAAGCAGGGAAAGGGTATTCGGGTTTGAGGTAGATCTTACATTGGCCTTAAATTGAAAAAGCGATCTGGTGGTTAAAAAGGTTGGTGACCACTACTCTAATAAATGTGTTACTCCTCAAGCCATAGGACTCCTCATTTTTGCTGAAACAAATTAACATGGCTACCTCTCTGAAAAATACAATGTATTCTGATCAATATTTCTTCAGTGCAACATGAGCAACTGCAAAACTACTCTTTCAACAACAGTTTGAAAAGCGTTTTGGGATACCCCAAGTAGGAAAATGGCTATATAAAAATGATTCTAGTGTCTTCCAGTTCCATTGTTTAGATCTAACATTTTGGTCTTTTTACCTCTCTCATGAAGCTCTTCTTTTTTCGTCTGGCCTTTGTAGTCTTCACAAAAGCTCTCTGAACACTTCGTATAGCCAACTTAAAGCAACGGTTTTTCCTTCCACGAAAATGCTAAGACAAAAACAAGATCAGTTCAGTTATTAACTTTATAAGGCTGTAAAGCTCACCAGTAATATGACTATAGAAGACATCACATTTCTATAGAGCCTTGCATTAGGAGGATCTCAAAGCACTTTATAAACATTTACAAACATCAGCCAATTATCTCACTTTACAAATAGGGAAACAAATGCAAAGATTAAAATAACCTGAAAAAAGCCAGAGTTTCAGTGGCTTGACAAAGTACAGAATCAGATTTCTTTTTCAGTCCCAGACAAACAATGGGAATCACACTAATTTTCTGACGTAAAACATAAGGGCATGCCTCTATGCAAAACCCACCCCACAAACCCACAGGATATCAATTGGGAATCCCTACCTTAAGTTATTTCTCATAGCTTGAGCCACTTTATATACCACTGATGATCAGAGTTGCACATATGGAAAATTAACAATGGGGGCAAGCAGCCTGCGTCAGTCACCACTTCATACAATTTAAACAAGGAAAAACCAGTACCATGTGATTAATCTGTCCTCCAATAAAGGTACCCATAGACTATTCATGACACATGGTTAAACTGGGACCCACCAGTGTAGAATATGTCCATTCATTGTAGAAAAACCCCTACTCAGTGCTACAGCTGACAATACACCCTTACAGAAAATTCCTTCCTGGCCCTATACTCAACAGCTTAGGCCAGGTCTATACTAGACCCGGAACATCCTCTTAAGGCAGAGGTGGGCAAAAGGGCCTTGGGGGGCCTGATCCGGCCTGCTGAGGCCCTGCTGCTCCCCCCACCCCCAGGCAAATTAGGGTGTGGGGGGAAGCACATGAAGTGTCCACTGCCCTGCCAGGAGCAGACAGCACTTCTAAGAGCCTCATTCTCCTTGCAGGGCAGGATGGAGGAAACTTCACCTTCCCCTCCCCCACCCCCCCAAGCCCTGACTGGCCTGGGAGCCAACAAGGGAGCATGCAGTCTCCTTCAACCCCTGGGACATGGGCACTTAGGGGGAACCTCTGGGGAGGGAGCAGAGACTTCACATGCTACCTCACCCTCAGACCAACCACGGTCTGTGGGTGGGGAAACAGGGAAGTATCCTGGCCAGGGGCCACTTCAGAAATTTTTTAAATGGCCCCCAGCAAAGAATTATTGCCCACCCCTGGCTTAAGGTATGCAACTCCAGCTACAGAAACAACATAATTGGAGTCAACACACTTTAAGCCAAGCTTGGCTCGGTCTTCACAGTGGGAGGTCAACAGGAGCAAATGATTCCACTGGCTTCTCTTAGACCTTGAGACCACCAGAAGTACTAGCACTGACTGGGGGTGCCCTCAGCATTCAATTTAACAGGTCTTTATTAGACCTGCTAAATCAAATGCCAGAAGACCGATCTCTGGTGTGTAAGGATCTATGTGGCCTGACAGCAGGGCTGGGCAAAATAGAGCCTGGGGGTCAGATCTGTCCATGGACTCTCATCAGGACCCTCAGGTACGCAGCTGCCACTGTTTCTAGTGCAACCTGTTGGCCTCTCTGCTCCAGAGGCTTCAGTGCAACCTCCCACTCCCAGCCCAATCTTCAGCCCCTATTGGGTGGAAACAACCAGCCGAATAGGAGCTGAGAGATTGGTCTGGGGGATGGGGGCAGTTTGAGCCTCTCCCTCTGGAGCTGAGAGCCACATGGGAGGAGCAGGCTGCCTTTTCAAGCCATCTGGGGCTGCAGCAGGCAGGGAGCCTAGCCTGCCTTGGGGATGCTGCAAAGCTACTGGCCCAGAGACTCTTAGGTAAATGCCTCCCAGGCAGAGACTGCCTCTGGCACCTTATCTCCTTCCCACAGGTCACCATCCAAACCCTCTGAACCCCACTGCCCCAGCTCAAAACTCCCTCCCAGTCCCTGTACCCCCCCCCCCCCCACTCCTCCACTGACCCAGAATCCTCTCCTGCACCCAGACCTTCTCCCAAACACCACACCCCAATCCCCTGACCCAGGTCACAATGCACTCCTTCTCCCAAACTCCCTCAGACCTCAGTGTCTCTTGCACCCCAGTTCCTTACCTCCTGCACCCTTCTGTACCTAATCTCCATCCTAGACCCCACACCTTCACAGAAGCATGCAGCCCTTGATCACTTTCCAAAATCTTCAAGTGCTTCCCCCCCCCCCAAAAAAATTGCCCATCCCTCCCTTAGTCACTGTCCACTTAAGTCTGATTGTAAAGAAGTATCTTTACTTGGTCTAGCAGCCCCAGAAGAACTAAACTTATAAATACAAAATGCTCTTTACATTTTGATCAGTTCAAAATTAAGCCAGTTTCAGCTGTTTATAGCCAAGTGTCATTTTCAGATTGTTTGAATTCGACACACCGCCACAGGCTCAGAGGGAAAGTTTGGTTAAACGCTACTGTTTAATTACAAATAAAACCGTGGAAGTGTTTCTGGTATAAATCTTTGTCAAAACTGTTTCCATAACATTTATAGTTCTGGAGACCAAATTGAAGTTCACACCTTTAACCTTACATGTGCCAGCAAGGCTGTTAGCCATCCAATACATGCATGTGACAACTACCTGGCCACCGTGTTTCATTAATCAGTTATTTTCCTTTAAAATACAACATTGTGCCTCCTCTTTGAAAAATAAAATAAATAAAGGATGAGAATTTTTGGTTGTTCTGGAGAAGAGCACAGCCTGCAGGGAAGAGCAAGGGGACAGCTTTATTTGTGCTCTCTAGCCACTGCCAGCACCATGCAAGAGGCAACTGGGAGAGGAAAACGAGTGTCACCTTCCAGCCCAGAGGAAGGACAAGGCTAGAAGTGGGGCCTACCTGGGGAGAACGAACAAAGAGAAAGGGACACCCCACACCCAGCTCCACCTGGAGGAGCATGCATCCCCTTCACCCCTTTCTGCGCCTAAGAGGCAGGCCTCCTCCCCCACCCCACCCAGACCCTCGTCTGTTCCTTGGAGACAAGGACACCGGGGCACCCTCCTGCCCGGGGGGGGGCGGACAACCCCCCCCCCTCTCCCCGGGGCACCCTCCTGCTCCGGGGGGGCGGACAAACCCCCCCCCCTCTCCCCGGGGCACCCTCCTGCTCCGGGGGGGCGGACAAACCCCCCCCCCTCCCCGGGGCCCCCACCCCACCCAGACCCTCGTCTGTTCCTTGGAGACAAGGACACCGGGGCACCCTCCTGCCCGGGGGGGGGCGGACAACCCCCCCCCCTCTCCCCGGGGCACCCTCCTGCTCCGGGGGGGCGGACAAACCCCCCCCCCTCTCCCCGGGGCACCCTCCTGCTCCGGGGGGGCGGACAAACCCCCCCCCCTCCCCGGGGCCCCCCTCCCGCTCCGGGGGGGGGGACAAACCCCCCCTCTC